ACTGACCCCTCTCACACACACTGATACCTCTCTCACACTGACCGCCCTCGCACACACTGACCCCTCTCACACACAGACCCCTCTCTCACACTGACCCCTCTCTCACACATTGATTCCCCCCACACACAGACCCCTCTCTCACACTGACCACCTTCTCACACACTGACCTCTCTCTCACACACTGACCCCCTTCTCACACACTGACCCCTCTCACACACTGATCCCTCTCACACACTGATCCCCCCTCTCACACTGACCGCCCTCTCATACACTGATCCGCCCTCTCATACACTGCTCCACCCTCTCACACACTGACCCCTCTCTCACACACAGGCTCCTCCCTCACACATTGACCTCCCTGTCACACTGACACCGCTCTCTCACACACTGACTCCTCTCTCACACCCCTTCTCGCCCTCACCCATTTACTCGGACGTTGGGACTGGGTTTTAAGTTTCCTGACTCCGATTTAGGTTCCAGGTTTTGTTTGATTCTGTGATTCGATCTCGGTCGATTCCGGGTTTGCTGTCATTTCCCAAAAACCCTTTTCATTCGGGAGTGTCATTACTCTGATGACGCTAAATTGCTCGGGGTCTGGAACACTCTCCTCCCCGACACTTTCGCACAGGAACGCCTCAACCCCACACTATCTCCCAGCAGCGCCCAGTCTAATCCCAACAGGAAAACCTAAACCCCACACTGTCTCCCAGCAGCGCCCGGTCTAATCCCAGCAGGAACGCCTAAACCCCACACTGTCTCCCAGCAGCGCCCGGTCTAATCCCAGTTGCCCGGGCCTGCATTGTTTACGATAGATCGACGCAAAATTCAGATTGAAACTAATTTCCCGGAACGGACAATACTTCCCATGCTTCCTCCACACACCCCACCCCAATCCCGCCCACACCACCCGTTACCATTCAGAACAGCACAAGCCCACAGCAACAGTTAGGTTCAAGAACCGAATTGAAATGGGGGGCGTGGGGCTTGTGGGGGGATGGTGGTGTGGAGGGGCTTGAATATGTTCCTGAGAATGACCTTGAACTGAAAGTGGCGGAGGTGAAGAGGAAAAGGTTTTTAAAGTGAAGCAGTAATTTATGGGCTAGCGGGGTTCAGAGGTCGGAGGACGGAGGATGTGCCTCTTTCGTTTCCCATTCAATCTGTTTAACCACTTGGCCCGATAAGAGACAGATCCCTGTGGATCCCTCGTGGACTGTGACCTGTTCAAAAGGAGATCCACAAAAGATCGCCGACAATCTCTCGGATGGGAGCGGGATGGTGGGAAACCGTTCATTTTGTTTCGAACTGACACAAGGAGCAGGAATTTGCGGGTGTTAGCGCATTGGAAAACGCTCCCACTTTTTAAACGTCCCTTTTGCATAATCAGAGATTTCTCTTCAAACATTTTACAAAACAAAACAATTTGTAACAAAAGTCTTTTCATAAATAGAAACTCTTGTAGCAGTTCCTGGAAAATAAATAGAACTTTTATGAAATATCGGAAGAAATGGACTTGAAAGACCAGTTACCGAGTTCAGGAGTCAGTGCTAAAGGCTGATTGGTCCAACTCACACAGGAACAGGAGGAGGCCATTCGGGCCTGAAGCCTGTTCTGGGCTCAGCTCCATCCGACAGGACCTTAATGTTTACTTGCATAGATTTTCCGTTATTGCTTTTCACTGGCGATTGTCCGCCGCACCGTCTCCAGCCACATTGCTATAACCAAGTCTTTAATGTGAACACCAGAAACCGTGGGACAGTCAACAACGAGTTTATTCCAGGAGAGCAGAGATGAAGATCCCATCCACCTAGACACAATGAAGACACCGATCATCCCACTCAGACTCACAATCGACAATCGAAATAATCGCATCGGATCTTCCGGAAACACTCGGGATTCTGTGTGTCCAGGATGCAGGCTCCGCTCTCTCTCTGTCTCTGTGTATGTGTTTGTGTCTGTCTGTGTCTCTGTCTCTCTCTGTCTGCGTCTGTCTCTCTCTGCCTGTGTCTGTGTTTTCGTGGCTGTCTCTGACTGTGTTTGTGTCTCTGTCAGTGTCTCTCCTTCGCTCAGGGCGGTCTCTATCTGAGGGTGAGTCTGTACTCTGTCGCTGGAGCAAAGCCATTCAGTCACATCCCTTTGCTGGCCAGTGTCACCGGGAACTATCTGCAATTAATTGTGGAAAAACGCGTTGAGTTCCTCGTACACCGCAGTCCTGTCGTGGTGAATGTGGGAATCATAGGCTGTCAGGTTATCCGAATGCAGGCCGGGCCTGAGCAGCAGTCCATGGGCAGGCCCCCGGGAGCTGGGCAGTGCCGAGTAGTGCATGGTATAGTGATAATTCTTCTCGTGTTCTGGGGGAGAGTCCGGCTTCAGGGGGTAGGAGCCGCCGTTAGTGCAGAGAGAAGGGCTCAGGGAGCCGTCCAGCTCGGAGCCCGGGTATTCAGGGGAGCCGTTCCCGTACAGGTGCTGCTCATAGCCCCCGCAGTAAGTGTGGGAGCGCAGCGGGTGGTTGCTAGTGCCCGCCCCAGCCTGGCATTGTGGGCTTGGTAGCCGGGCACACTGGTACGGGTATGGGTGCATGGCGAATGTGGATGTTGGCGGCTGGAGGCGGCCCGGCTCCGGGCCTTGCTCACTGAGGAAGTTGCGGGAGTTGAGCTGTAAGCAGCCGGCCACCAGGTTCGTGGTGGGTTGAGATAGACCTTTGCACAGCGTCTGCACATAGGAGACCAAATCCGGCTTCTTGCCTGACCGCAGGATCTCTGAAAGAGCCCAGATGTAGTTCTTCGCCAGGCGCAGAGTTTCTATTTTGGAAAGTTTTTGTGTTTTAGAGTAACACGGAACAACTTTGCGGAGATTGTCCAGGGCAGAGTTCAGGTCGTGCATGCGGTTCCTTTCCCGGGTGTTAGCTTTCTGGCGCCTCAGCTTGAAGCGCTCCAGCCTGGCCTTGGTCATCTTCCTCCTTTTCGGGCCCCGCTTCCTAGGTCTGCTCCCATTCTCCTCCTCCTCCTCCACCTCTTCTTCCTCCTCATCTTCATCCTCCTCCTCCATCCCGGTTTCTGCCTCTTCATTGTCTTGGGCAACACTCACAGAGTCCTCAGCTTGACTGTCCTGGGGGTCACAGCTCTCGCTATTGCGTTCATCTCTCAGCTTCTCTTCATCGCTCTCACTGTCCTCCGCCCACGTGGGGTATTTGTGAACCTCAGGCATGAGGCTGGAGTCACTGAAGAGCCGGGTCAACATGCTGCCTGTTAGAAAGGGGATGGAAAACACACATTTACAACGTCTCTCACCAGGGCTCCCCAACCCCAGCTCCCCCACCCGGGCTCCCCAACCCCGGCTCCCCCACCCCGGCTCCCCAACCCCAGCTCCCCCACCCGGGCTCCCCAACCCCGGCCCCCTCACCCCGGCTCTCCAACACCGGCTCCCGCACCCCGGGCCCCTCACCCCGGCTCCCCCACCCTGGCTCCCCCACCTCGGCTCCCCTACCCCGGCTCCCCCACCCCGGCTCCCCAACTCCGGCCCCCTCACCCCGACTCCCTCAGCCCGGATCCCTCACCCAGGCTCCCCCATCCGGGCTCCCACACCCGGGCTCCCCCACCCCGGCTCCCCCACCCGGGCTCCCCCACCCGGGCACCCTCACCCCGGCTCCCCCAGCCCGGCTCCCTCAGCCCGGATCCCTCACCCCAGCTTCATCAGCTTGTGGTGAAGTCAGTAGCCGCCTCTTACCGTTATCCCGGGGAAGGGGCGGGTGCGGTGTGGGTTGGAGGGGGACACGGTTAGATGTCTCCGGGACATTGTCAGTGGCTGTAACCCCGAACAGCCAGGCCCCAGTCCGGCTTCTCTGAAAGCTCTGTCCCCGGGACACACCACATCCTGGCGGCGCGCTTCCAGCCTCTGACTCCTTCCCCCACCCCTCCCGGCTCCTCTCTGTACATTCCCCGGGCTAGGGGAGGTTGGGAGCGCCCGGTTTATCCCGGGCCTGGAATGAATATTTCTCTGGTAACGAGAATGACCAATAGGCTATGGTGAGATGTGAGGGTGATGGTTGGATTGTGTCAGAGGGAACTTTACAACAGCTTCCCGACACCGTGACATTGTGAACGTGTCGCGGACGTTTCCATCATCGCAAATCGCTATTTGTATGGCGTCAATTTCAACCTCTCTCAGAATCTCTCGTTGGGTAGATTTCAGATTTGACTTGTCAGTAAAAATGCATCGATTTTCAGAAATCTGTGTTTTATACAGTTTCAATATATTCACGATTGCGCTTGCTGCATTATGAAAATTAAAATCGTTTATCATTTCTCCTGGAAAGAATTGTAAAACCCTAGGAGATAAATTAACCCGAAGGAAGGAAGTGAATTCGGCGTTAGCTTATTATCAGGGGGCGGTGGGGAGAGTGATCCCACTCTGTCCTGCCCCCGGGGTTCGTTCAACTTCACCCGCAGGAAACTTAGCAACTTACACCCTTCTAAAAAAAATGTGTAATTCCTTCTCAAAAGCAAACAAACGAAGGGGAGGTTTTGAGGGAGGTGGCTTTCTCCCGTTTGATTGAAGGGGTTGGGACTTGGGAGGGGGGAAATCGGAATTCCGAGCTGGCTTTTTTTTAAAATTTCAGCAATTTGCAGAAACAGCCGCCGTTTGCTCACAATCCGTTTAAACAAATTCTAGCTCTCCTCAATAATCTAATGCTGGTTGCGAGTGCCTAAGTTGAGTGAGACCTGAGCGGAGAGAGAGGGGGAGTCGGTGTGAAATTGCACTCCCCCCTCCCCCGGTACCCCCCTCCCTCCCCAATGAGCCTCCCCTTACCTGCAGCCCTCAGCCGAGCCTTAGCTCATTGTTCAGAGCGACCTCCTTCTGGGATTCCCTGCTTTCTGGAGGCTCTGGGCAAAGCTTCTCATCGGCTCAATGTATCGACAGGAGGAGAGTGGCACCTTCACCAAACTGCGGTACCCGCTCTGATGCCAGGCCATATGGGTAGCACGTCATTGGCAGCAGCATCACATGAGCGGCGGTGATTGACATGCGGCTGTGAACGGCCTGTCTCCCGGGACAGAGGGGGCTTGTACTGACCATCTGTCAGCGCCTCATCCCGGACTCTGCACCGGGGGCGGGGGGAGCCGGCTCCGGGGGCTGGGAGGGAGTAACTCGGACCTGTCCCTCAACCCCCACCCTCTCCCCAGACACCCCCGCCATCTCCCCTCCCCACCCCACCCACCCACACACTCCCAACGCCTCGTCGTTTTTTTTTTGGTAGAAAAGTTCATGGTTAACGTCTGTGAGAAATGAAATGTTCTCAATGAATCATTTCCGACGGGTTCTCACTCAAGCCCCGGGGCCGTGACAGCACGGAACGCTGCTCCTGCTGCCGCCGCCGTCTCTCTCTATCTCTCCCTCTCGAAGTTTCCGGGCCATTCCGTCAAACAAAAAGCTGCTGTTTTTGGCGCGCCCCACATTACCCGCAAAACCCAGTCTCTGGTATTTACCTCAACATGCTGCGCCGAACCTGCGCCACATTTACCCCGTCCTTTCAGCCTTGATCCGAAATAGATTGACCCCACTGTTTTAGGATTTCCATTGGAAATTCTAATTAATGCCTGACAAGTTGGATTGACCCCGTGCATTTTCTAATTCAAAGAGAAAACAAACAGTCGGTACTGAGGATTCTGCAAATCTGACAGAAAAAGCGAAGCTGCTGAAAGTACTGAGTAGGTCAGCAAATGACCTTCCTCGTCCTAAACAACATTGATTTTTCAATGAAGCAACTGGACGGATCTTCAATTATTTACCCCAGGCTCACGATTTCCCGAACGCCCACATTACCCCTGTATTTACCCTGCCGCTAGTATTTATTCCACTTTCCTTCACTCCTTCACGGGATGTGGGCCAGCATTTATTGCCCATCCCTAGTTGCCCCTTGAGAAGGTGATAGTGAGCTGCCTTCTTGAACTAATGCAGTTCATCTGCTGTAGGTTGACCCTCAATGCCCTTAGGGAGGGAATTCCAGGATTTTGACCCAGCGGCAGTGAAGGAAGGGCGATATATTTCCAAGTCAGGATGGTGAGTGCCTTGGAGGGGAACTTGCAGGTGGTAGTATTTCCATATATCTGTGGCCCTTGTCCTTCTAGATGGAGGTGGTCATGGGTTTGGAAGGTGCTGTATGAGGAAACTTGGTGAATTTCTGCAGTGCATCTTGTAGATAGTACACACTGCTGCTACTGAGTGTTGGTGGTGGACAGAGTGGGTGTTTGTGGATGTAGTACCAATTAAGCGGGCTGCTTTGTCCTGGGTGGTGTCACGCTTCTCCAGTGTTGCTGAAGCTGCACCCATCCAGGCAAGTGGGGAGTCTTCCATCACACTTGTGACTTGTGCCTTGTAGATGGTGAACGGGCTTTGGGGAATCAGAGAAGAATTACTCACTCCAAGATTCTCAGCCTCTGACGTGCTCTTGCAGCCATTGCCTTTATGTGGCTGGTCCTGTTCCTAGTCAGTGATAATGCACAGGGAATTTACAGTGGGCGCTATCAGTGATGTAATGACATTGAATGTCACTGGGATATGGTCAGTCTCTGAGGAGATGGTCATTTTCTGTCATTTGTGTGGCGTGAATATTACTTGAAACTTGTCAGCCCAAGCCTGGATATTGTCCAGATCTTGCTGCATTTAGACATGGGCTTCAATATCTGAGGAGTTGCAGATGGTGCTGAACATTGTGCAATCATCAGTGGGCATCCCCAATTCTGACCTTATGATGGAGGCATCTGAAGGTAGTTGGGACAAGGACACTACCCTGAGGTACTCCTGCAGAGGTGTCCTGAAGCTGGAATTACTGACCTCCAACAACCACTAAGTATGACTCCAGTCAGTGGAGATGTTCCCCAAATTCCCATTGACTCCAGTTTTTCTAGGGCACTTTTTAGGACACATTTGGTCAAATATTGCTTTTATGTCAAGGGCAGTCATCCTCGCTTCTCATCTTGATGTCAGCTGTTTTGTCTATGGTTGGATGTTTACATATTATGTGTTTATGCCGGTGTTATGTTGGTCACCCTGAGGGACTCTTTATATTGGGTATTTACCATTCACAAATTCTCTGACCATGCAGTTATCAATGTGATATTGAAATAATGTATTCAGTATTTCCTCAATTTATCCCAGTTTTCTGTGTACATAACAAATTAACTCTTTACCCACAATGGTTTTTCTGTTGTTATATTTATCCTGAAGAAGGGTAATACCCGAAACATTGACTGCTCCTTTCCTCCAGATGCTGCCTGGCTTGCTGTGTTCTTTCAGCCTCCTGTTGTCTACTTTGAATTCCAGCATCTGCAGATCTTTTTTTTGTCTCTACATTCCATGCCCACTGCTAACTGTAATTACTGTCTGTTTATTGCACAGTATTAATCTCGTACAAATGTATTTAATTGGTGTTCTATTTATTATGTGTCTGTAATATCCTGCCCTGATACTGGACAACATCAATTTAACTGCTTTATTTTTGACTTACACATGATTTTTCTACTCAATATCTATGGGATTACTCTTAGATACTGCCAATATCAACATTTACTTTATTTTCTTTCTCTCCTTCCAGGAGCGACTGACCTCCTTGCAGGTGGATAAATCACCAGGGTTAGATGAATGGTATCCTAGGTTGTTAAAGGAAATCTTAAAGGAAATATATGCTCTGGGGATCATTTTCAAATCCTCACTAGATACAGGTGGTGGGCAGAGGACTGTAACACTGTTTAAAAAGTTGTGAGACATCAACCAAATAATTATAACCTGGGAATTCTGACTTCAGTGGTGGGCAAATTATTGGAATTAAATTTGAAAGACAGGATAAAATATCTGTTAGAAAGGTTCAGATTAATCTGTGTTAGTCAGCATGGTTCTATCAAGAAGTATCCTGTTTTACTAAATTAATTGAAATGATTGAGGAAACAACAAGGAGGATTGTTGAGGTAGGTATAATGGATATTGTTTACGTGGACTTTAGGAAGGCTCTGACAATACTCCACATAGAATCCCTACAGTGTGGAAGCAGGCCACTCAGTCCATCAATTCCACACTAGCACTCCGAAGTGCATTCCACTCAGGCCCACATCCTTGGACACTATGGGGCAATTTTTAGTATAGCCAAACCACCTAATCTGCACATCTTCAGACTGTGGAAAGAAACCAGAGCACCGGGAGGAAACCCACGCAGACAGAGGAAGAATGTGCAAACTCCACACAGA